CCTGTACATACTGCCACTGTCATACCCTCCACACTCCTCTCCTGTACATACGGCTCACTGTCATACCCTCCACACTCCTCTCCTGTACATACTGCCCAATGTCATACCCTCCACACTCCTCTCCTGTACATACTGCTCAATGTCATACCCTCCACACACCTATCCTGTACATACTGCCCACTGTCATACCCTCCACACTCCTCTCCTGTACATACTGTCCACGGTCATACCCTCCACACTCTTCTCCTGTACATACTTTTAATTAATACATTTTAAATAATTTAATTTTAAAATACATGTTATAGTATACGTTTTATTTGCAGAAATGGTAGTTTAATAAATGTGTAAATGCACCAAAAGAGGAGAAGGGAAGAGGAAAGAGGGACTTTAGGGGAATTGTAGCTAAGGGGTTTCCCCTCCAGGTGCCGCCCCCCCCTCTGGAGTTCTGCTGAATATTTTGGTGTGGCGGGAGTATCGAGTCAAACTGCCTTGGGTCACGGCACCCCCTGATGCTATATCATGATGACTACACCCTATGTCTATGGATATAAATAGAAGTATGGGGCTATACAGACCTGTGGAAGTATCTAATGCTTGGGTATCCAAACTTTCTAAACAAAGGGCCAGTTTATTGTCCTTCAGACTTTAGGGGGGGGGGGGGGCCGAACTGTGGCCATTGGGAGTATAAAACGTCCCGACTTCAGTGAGAATAGACAATGCCCCATCTTTGGTGTCAGTGGGAGGGATAGTGCTTCATTTTTGGTGTTAGTGGGAAGAATTGCGACCCATTGTTTGCATCAGTGGGAGGAACTGTGCCCTGTCATTGGTGTTGAGAGGAATTGTGCCCCATCGTTGGTGTCATTGGAAGGAATTGTGCCCCATCGTTGGTGTCATTGGAAGGAATTGTGCCCCTTAGTGTCAGTGGGGGGAAATATTCCTCATTGTTGGCATTAGTGGATGAAATAGTGTCCCAAGGGCCAGAAAAAAAGCAAGCAAAGGGCCACATCCAGCCAGCGGGCTGCAGTTTGGAGACCATTGATCTAATGTGTACAGTTTTGATGTGTATTATATGTTGAGTTTTATCTATGATATCAAATAACATATGATTTTTTTTTTTTAATTTTGTGTTTTGTGCCAAAATAATCCACGAACTTCTAACAAATATCTTTGGAATCAATAGGAGACAGGAGACCAGAGAAGTAAAATCTGACCATGGGGTACAAAAATCTGCCACGGATATCAAAGTGTGCTTCAGCAGTATAGATATTGTGTGATGAGTCATCATCGAGGCTTTGTTATAACCAGAATAAGCTGGAACAATGCTCAAAAAACAACAAAACAATAACAAAAATACTGTACATAGTGTATATCTCCCATCTGATAACATTCTGTAACAAATTAGTGATTTCGTACATAGCAGCGTTCTGCAGACATTGGCGCTGAATACAAAGCTGATATCTTGTCTTGTGACCACAACACCACCTAGTGGGCAACCCATGCTATAGCAGGTGTTAGATGGAAAACAGGCTTATGCATGTCATCCACCAATGTGGTCTATGGCTGCATATCTCAACCTTATTGAGACCAGGGCCTGACAAGTTCTTCCAAAACCTTCCATGCCAGAACAATAAAAAAAAACAGCATGGGAATACAAAATGTGTATTGCAATGCTGAATGGCTCTGGATGGGGCTACATGTCACTGCAAGGGAATGGAGGTTCTGGAGGGGGTTAAGGGACTCTGCAGAAGACCGGGTGTCCCTACAGAGAGAGATGTCTGGAGAAAGCTTGGGGTAGCTGTGAAGGATGGGGTCTCTGAAGGGTACTGAGGATGTCTACAAGAGCCTGGGAGTTTTGCAGTGGCACTATAGGACACATTTGGTGGTTGGGGGCATTATGGCAGGGTAGACAGTACTGTGGGAGGTTAGGGGGAACTGTGAGAGCATAGGGCTCTCAGGGGCCTAGGGGCACTGTGGGAGATTGGGCAGTACTATAAGGGGTTAGGAGCACTATGGAAGGCTGGGGAATCTGCAACAAGTTAAGGGGAACTATCTGAGGTTGGGGGGCTTTATGAGGGCTTAAGGCTCTCAGGAGACCTGGGAGCACTGTGGGATGTTAATGAGTACTGCAGGCCACTATGAGGGGTTGGGGGGAGGCACTGGGGGAGGGTGGCTGGAAGCTCTGAATCAAGCTAGGGGGCACTGTGGGGGATTGGGCAATATTGTGTGAAGTTAATAGACAGGCTAGAGGGTCTAAAGCAAGCTTGGGGGGCACTGTGGAAGTCTGGGTAGTACTGTGAAGGGTTGGGGGCACTGTGAGTGCTTAAGGCTTTCGGGTCTTGGGGTGCTATGAGAGGTTGAGCGATACTGTAGGCCAGTATGAGGGCTTAGGGGGCACTGAGAGGGTCTGGAGGCTCTGAAGCAAGCCAGGGGTCACTGTAGGTAGTTGGACAGTATTGTGGGAAGTTAATGAATAGGCAGGAGGCTCTGAAGGAAGCTTGGGGAAGGGGGGGTGGGCATTGTGGGAGGTTGGCCAATATTGCGGGAGGTTGAGGGGCACTGTGAGTGCTTAGGGCTTTCAAGGGGCTTGGGGGCACAGTGGGAGGTTGAGAAGTACTGCAGACCTCTATGAGAGGTTGAGGGGCTAGAGGATCTGCAGGAGGCTAAGGGCCACAATGGGAGTTTGAGGGGCATTATTATTATTGTTGTTATTATACAGGATTTATATAGTGCCAACAGTTTGCTCAGCACTTTACAATATAACGGGAGATAATACAGCAACAATACAGTTCAATACAAGAGGGTTAGGAGGACCCTGCTCCTTGGAGCTTACAATCTAAGATTATGGGGGCTTAGGGCTCTCAGGAGACCTGGCGGCACTGTGGGAAGTTGAGCAGTACTGCAGACCTCTATGAGAGGTTGGGGGGCTGGAGGATCTACAACAAGCTAAGGGCCACTAGAGGAGTTTGAGGGGCATTATGGGGGCTTAGGGCTCTCAGAAAACCTTGGGGCTTTGTGAGAGGGTTAATAGGTACTGCAGGCCACTCCGAGAACGTGGGGGGGTACTGTGGATCACTATGGGAGGTTAGGGAATCTGCAGCTGGTTGGGGTCCCAGGAGGAGGGAGGTCATTTGCCCAGCAGGCCATAGCCCAGTGGTTGAGAACAACTTGTATAGGTGATATTGAAGTAGAACCTCTTATATTTTTTTATTGTTTCAATTGTATTTGAAACCAAAAATATTTTTTCAGGTTTTCTTTTCCAAAGCAGTAATGGCACCATGCTAAGGATCATATCATTTAATTATTAGGTCATTGGTAGAAAAGAAGTTACCCAACATGTTAGTCGCTATCTAGTGGCAATAATGTGGTATTTTTCCTGAGGTATCTAGAGAGAGTTGACCATCCTAGAAAATATTACGGTGAAGATGATTGACTCAATGGCGCAGAATTTTTTTATATATATATATATATATATATATATACATATATATATATATATGTCAACATTAACTATAAATAGTCAACATTCAACATTAATTGATAACTATAGCAGTTACCTAGCAAGTCAATATCAGAAAGTACAATGAGTAAATGAGATTAGTGTTGCATTAGACTTCCCTAGTACACATCAGCAGATATGTGATGGGAGTGAAGGCACTTAATGTATACTTTGGCATCTTTTCCTGGTAGGGAAGTCAGTTGCCTTCAGCAGAACAAAAACATTGTTCTGAAACCAAGGGATGGGATATATCACCCAGCCTTCTTGGTCAAGCATCCGTCTCCTATGCCACACTTTCTAGGCCCATTGCTATCAGAATTCAGTGCAAAGGGTGGAGCTACTGTAGGTTCTCGTTGAGAACCGTTGTACGCCAGGGCAATTCCCAGAATTTGGCAACCTTCTATGTGCTAGCACTGGCATTTTAGAAACATTAGGAAAAAAACAGAAGTCCCCTGGACTCAAGAGCTTTGGGATGATATGAAAAATACAGGTTTTTAAGCATCTATTGCCCACACATGCCTTGCTGCCCTCTAAGGATCAGGGGAGAACCCAAATGTTCACTGGAAAAACAATGGAAGAAAGGGTGCACGAGCCTAGTGTATTACCTGAGAACATTTTCTAATTAAAGCATCAAAATATATACTCACAAACAATTATGTGTCAAAGGCTTTAGAATCTCCAAAGCGACCAGGTCACCAGGTCATCTCCCAAATCTCGAGAAGGCCCTAAGATTACTGATGCATTTTGAGGGACAGCCCCTTCTTCCTCAGAGCCAGAAACGCGTCAGCCATCTGAGGGTCTTCTCGAGGTCGCTTTGGATATTAAGATACCTTTGACACATAATTGTTTGTGAGTATATATTTTGGTGTTTTAAGAAAAAAAATTTATTCTCAGGTAATCCACTAGGCTGGTGCGCTCTTTCTTCCAATATTTTAGAAACATTGCTGTGACCCCATCATCCTCATCAGGTTGACATGCCTTCTTTGGAATCTTAGGTGGTGTAATGCCTGATAATGTCCACAAGATATCGCCTGTGAAGGAATGCGCAAAATCAAAAATGCATCTAAACCCAACTTCAAACCCCTCCAAAATTTTTTATATATTGCAACCTGCCAGTTCTTAGATGTGGTGACTGCATTAGTTTACTTTTTTCATTTATTTTTTTTTTCTGGTGATTCTGCCAGTAACACAATTCCTGTTCTGGGGTGACAATCCCCACTTCCTGTACAGTATCAGAACAACATAAAGGAAATAGGACTACAGAACCCCCGCTTCTCTACTATTGTCTATAACATAGAGAGAAGGACTTCTGTGGTCCTTATAGCTAACTAAGAACAATGGCATTAATATCAGGTAACGAGCACAGGAAGTTATCCAGATTTTTTGCAGGATCAACATACACACACTATATTGGCAAAAGTATTGGGCCAGCCCTCCAAATCATTGGATTCAGGTGTTCCAGTCACCTCCATGGCAACAGGTATATACAATCAAGCCCCTAGGCATGAAGACTGCTTCTACAAACATTTGTGAAAGAATGGGTTCAGGAGCTCAGTGACTCCAAGCGTGGTCCCGTGATAGGTTGTCACCTGTGCAATAAGTCCATCCGTGACATTTCCTGGCTACTAAATATTCCACGGTCAACTGTTAGTGGGATTATAACAAAGTGGAAGCAACTGGGAACAACAGCAACTCAGCCACCAAGTGGCAGGCCAAGTCAGATGACAGAGTGGGGTCAGCGCATGCTGAAGCGCACAGTGTGCAGAAGTCGCCAACTGTCTGCAGAGTCAATAGCTAAAGACCTCCAAACTTCATGTGGCCTTCAGATTAGCACAACAACAGTGTGTAGAGAGCTTCATGGAATGGGTTTCCATGGCCGAGCAGCTGCATCCAAGCCTTACATCACCAAGTGCAATGCAAAGCGGCGGATGCCGTAGTGTAAAGCACGCCACCACTGGACTCTAGAGCAGTAAAGACGTTCTCTGGAGTGACCAATCACGCTTCTCTGTCTGGCAATCCGATGGATGTGTCTGGATTTGGTGATTGCCAGGAAAACGGTACTTGCCTGACTGCATTGTGCCAAGTGTAAACTTTGGTGGGTAGATTATGGTGTGGGGTTGGGCTTGGCCCCCTAGTTCCAGTGAAGGGAACTCTTAAGGCGTCAGTATACCAAGACATTTTGGACAATTTCATGCTCCCAACTTTGTGGGAAGAGTTTGGGGATGGCCCTTTCCTGTTCCAACAGGACTGCGCACCAGTGCACAAAGCAAAGTCCACGGCATTTTTTTCAGGGGGAACGTGGGGGAACCCGGCACCTCCAGTACTGAATGTATGTAATGTTAAGGGGTGCTGGGGTGTGCTGGAAGGTCTGTTCTGCTGGCTGCTGATGAATCTATTGTCACTGCAGGGGATCTGTTTTTCTTTGGCATTTTATTGTTGCTGGGGGGGCAGTTGTTACTGAAAGGGATCTACTGTTGAGGGAAGGGTCTATAGCTGCTGGAGAGTATATTGATGCTTACTACTGGGAGATCTGTTGTTGCTGCTGGGGTCTATTGTTACTACTTTGGTGATATTTTGTTGAGGGGGTCCATTTTTCCAGGGTGGGGGGGGGGGGTTATATTCCAATAGTTTTTATTGAACAATTTTCAATTAACAGATAGAACAAGAACAAGTAAACAATAGTCATGTCACAACGAATAGAATTTGGCACAACGCAAATAACATGGTTTATCAGACATAAGACACGCAACAAGAAACTAAGGACTCTGTAGAGTAGATATTGGATAATCCAAATAAAAAGCCCACATCATCAATCTCACCATATATAGGGGACGGGGACAGTGATGGGGGAAGGGAGGAGGGAGGGAAGCCAGAAAGGGAACAGCGAGGGGGGGAGTTAGGGGACATAAGGGAAGGGGAAGAACCACTCTTTGTGGACCTGAGATTACACGCAGAGTAAGTGTCGTTTGAGGCATGACAAATGTTGTAGAACATATTGGGGTTAGGCATAACCAACCCCAGAGGACAGAAAACAGAGAATGATAAAGAATAAAGAAAAGGATATAGAAAAAGAGAAAGTTGCTGGGGAGTTTATTGCTTTTATTGTTATCAACAAATTTCATACAAGTTACTTAGCACCGCAGAATGATACTTGGCTTTGTACTGGGAGGTGGGTAGGAGGTGGAACCAAGGGACTGTGCTCAGGTGTGTAGTAGGTGGAACCAAGGGACTGTGCTCAGGTGTGTAGTAGGAGGAACCAAGGGACTGTGCTCAGAGGTGAGTAGGAGGTGGAACCAATGGACTGTGCTCAGAGGTGGGTAGGAGGTGGAACCAAGGGACTGTGCTCAGGTGTGTAGTAGGTGGAACCAAGGGACTGTGCTCAGAGGTGGGTAAGAGGTGGAACCAATGGACTGTGCTCAGAGGTGGGTAGGAGGTGGAACCAAGGGACTGTGCTCAGAGGTGGGACCAAGGGACTGTGCTCAGGTGTGTAGTAGGTGGAACCAAGGGACTGTGCTCAGAGGTGGGTAGGGGGCAGATACAAGAAATGACTCCAAAAGGGGGAGTTCCTGCACCTATTCTCTGACAACAAAAGCCCTGGCAAGGTCCATAAAGACATGGATGAACGAGATTGGGGTGGAGGAATTTGACTGGCCTGCCCCTTAGTTCCAGTGAAAGGAACTCTTAAGGTGTCAATTCATACTCCCAATTCATACTCCCAACTTTGTGGGAAGAGTTTGGGGATGGCCCTTCCTGTTCCAACATGACTGCGCACCAGTGCACAAAGCAAGGTCCATAAAGACATGGATGAGCGAGTTTGGGGTGAAGGAACTTGACTGGCCTGGACAGAGTCCTGACTTCAACCTGATAGAACACCTTTGGGATGAATTAGAGTGGAGACTGCGAGCCAGGCCTTCTCGTCCAACATCAGGCCTAACCTCACAAATGTGCTTCTGGAAGAATGGTCCAACCTTCCCATAGATACCCTCCTAAACCTTGTGGACAGCCTTCCCAGAAGAGTTGAAGCTGTTATAGCTGCAAAGGGCGGGGCCAACTCAATATTGAACCCTACGGACTAAGACTGGGATGTCAATCAGTTCATGTGTGCATGTAAAGGCAGGCTTCCCAATGCTTTTGGCAATATAGTGTATATATGAGTGTTAGACCACAATTTGCCTTAAGAACTGCCTTAATTATTTGTGGCATTGATTCAACAAGGTGTTGGAAACATTCCTCAGATTTTGGTCCATTATGACATGATAGCATCACGCAGTTGCTGCAGATTTGTCGGCTGCACATCCATGATGCAAATCTCCTGGTGCACCACATCCGAAAGTTTCTCTATTGGATGGAGATCTGGTGACTGTGGAGGCCATTGGAGTACAGGGAACTCATTGACATGTACAAGAAACCAGTGTGAGATGATCTGAGCTTTGTGTCATGGTGCATTATCCTGCTGGAAGGAGCCATCAGAAGATGGGGACACTTGAGTCATAAAGGGATGGACATGGTCAGCAACAATACTCAGGTAGGCTGTGGCGTTTAAACGATGCTTGATACTGAGGGGCCCAAAGTGTGCCGAATTGTAGCTTCCGTTTCCTGTTCTTAGCTGAGAGGAGTGGCACCCGCTGTGATCGTCTGCTGCTGTAGCCCATCTGCTTCAAGGTTCAACGTGTTGTGTGTTCAGAGATGGTATTCTGCATACCTTGGTTGTAACAAGTGGTTATTTAGAATTTCTGTTGCCTTTTTATCATCTCGAACCAGTCTGCCCATTCTCCTCTGACATCAACAAGGCATTTTCGTCCACACAACTGCCACTCACTGGATATTTTCTCTTTTTAGGACAATTCACTGTAAACCCTAGAGATGGTTGTGCATGGAAATCCCAGTAGATCAGCAGTTTTTGTCACACTCAGACCAGCCTGTCTGGCACCAACAACCATGCCACGTTCAAAGTCACTTAAATCCCCTTTCTTCCCCATTCTGATGCTCGTTTTGAACTTCAGCAAGTCCTCTTCACCACGTCTAGATGCCTAAATGCACTGAGTTGCTGCCATGTGATTGGCTGATGAGCAATTTGTGTTACCAAGCAATTGAACCTAATAAAGTGACCAGTGAGTGTATATATTTCATTTGTAAGTAATTTTTTTAATGCTTTTACCCAGAGTCGTGATTTTAGTGTCACAAATTAGAAAATAAAATATATATGTTTTATTTACAGTAATACTAAGGGATCTGTGTATTAAATAAATTAGCATGACTGTTCATCTATCAAAACCACATGTAAATTCATTCTGTGAGAACAGTGCAAAAGCGGATGTTCTCAGGCTTTGAAATATCTCCTTATGGCCAGCAGATGCCACTGATAATCATAGGACCCAAGTATGCTCTTCGGCTCTATCTAGTGGCCACAGTGCAATATTTTCCCCGTTTGTACATTTGATTTGCAGAGAATAAAACCTGAGAACATTCGATCTTGCCCCATTCACACAGAACAGGTTTACATGCTGTATGGTCGGACAGCCAGCTATGCGCATTTATTTTTATAAATACATCCCCAGATTTCTTTTTTTCTTTATACTAACACTGATCAAAGTACAAAATATTTTTTTTCACCTTTGTCTTATTAAAAATAAATTTTATATATATATATATATATATATATATATAGATATGTGTGTGTGTGTGTGTGTATGTATATATATATATATATATATATATATATATACAGTCATGGCCGAAATTGTTGGCACCCTTGATATTTCTCCAGGAAATCATGTATTTCTCACGAAACGTATTGCATTAACACATGTTTTGCTATACACATGTTTATTCCCTTTGTGTGTATTGGGACAAAACAAAAAAAGGGAGGAAAGAAAGCAAATTCGACATAATGTCACACAAACCTCCAAAAATGGGCTGGACAAAAGTATTGGCACCCTTTCACAACTGCGGATAAATATAAGAATGTTACAAGCATGTGATGCTCCTGTAAACTCACCTGGGGCAAGTAACAGGTTGTGGGCAATATAGAAATCACACCTGAAAGCAGATAAAAAGGAGAGACGTTCACTTAATTTGCATTGTGTGTCTGTCTGTGCCACACTAAGCATGGACAACAGAAAGAGGAGACGAGAACTGTCTGAGGACCTGAGAACCAAAATTGTGGCAAAATATCAACAATCTCAAGGTTACAAGTCCATCTCCAGAGAACTAGATTTGCCTTTGTCCACAGTGCGCAACATTATCAAGAAGTTTGCAACCCATGGCACTGTAGCTAATCTCCCTGGTCGTGGACGGATGAGGAAAATTGATGAAAGATTGCAACGCAGAATAGTCCGGATGGTGGATAAGCAGCCCCAAACATGTTCCAAAGACATTCAAGCTGTCCTGCAGCTCAGGGAGCATCAGTGTCAGCGCGAACGACTATCCGTCGACATTTAAATGAAATGAAACGCTATGGCAGGAGACCCAGGAGGACCCCACTGCTTGACACAGAGACATAAAAAAGCAAGACTACAGTTTGCCAAAATGTACTTGAGTAAGCCAAAAGCCTTCTGGGAAAACGTCTTGTGGACAATGAGACTCCAAGATAGAGCTTTTCGTAAAGCACATCATTCTACTGTTTACCGAAAACGGAATGAGGCCTACAAAGAACAAAACACAGTACCTACGGTAAAATATGGTGGAGGTTCAATGATGTTTTGGGGTTGTTTTTGCCTCTGGCACCTTTGTTGACTGTGTGCAAGGCATCATGAAAATATTACCAAAATTGGGTCGCACATTGTCAGAAAGCATCCAAGATCCTGGGTCTTCCATAGGACAATGACCCCAAACATACGTCAAAAAGCACTCAGAAATGGATGGCAAAGAAGCGCTGGAGAGTTCTGAAGTGGCCAGCAATAGATCTAAATCCCATTGAACACCTGTGGAGAGACATCTTAAAATTGCTGTTGGGATGGTGTCCT